ATTATGACTCATAGAATAAAAGTGCTATTTAGTCTTCTCTCAGACTGTTGCTCTTCAAGACTCAAGGGGACACATCTGTTTTTAAAATATTGCATTTTCCTTGCACTCAAAAGGCAGGGAAATGTAATTGCCCACTTTCCCTGCTAAAAAAAAATCTACGCAGGAGTCAGAGGTACCTAATAGAGCAAATCTTGAAGAGCAACAGTCTGAGAGAAGACTAAATAGCACTTTTATTCTATGAGTCATAACCCAGCCTGAATGTTGCCTGTACTTCTTTGACCTGAGTGCCAACTTACACAGCAAAAGTTCCCAGAAAATTGTTTGTGTTGTTTGTGTCTGTGTCTGAAATATTTTGAGAGTCTAAATGGCGTTTTCTAACAAGTGGGTGGATCCTCTCAGAAGGGGTCCAGAACGATTCCCTACAGTCCACTCCAGTATGTACCTCTTTATGTCTGCAATAGATCACGACCTGTGCTCAGGGTAGTGGCCAGAATTACCTTTACCCCATCTGTCATCCCCATCTCTGCCTTTGAGTGCCAAGGCCAGGAAGTGCTGAACAAAGAAATCAGCCAGGCAACAGTCAACTTTGAAATCCAGAGAGACCCACGGTTTACCTTAGGTAGGTCCACAGATCTTCAAAGGTATAATTTGGGTTCACGACAGCTTCCCATTAAGATTATTTCTTCCCCACAGCTTATCTACAGCTGAAGGGCAATATTGGGACCATTCTAATTTTTTGTGATTGTTTGATTTGTGATTGCTTGATTTGATTATGATTGTTTGATTTGTGTGAGTCAATAGCAAGGCTTTAGAGATCTGACCTCCAAAGTTCAGAAGATTTCACTCTCCTGGAATATTGTCTGCTGTCTTCTGCAATGTTCTTCCATAAGTAAATTAATGTGGAAAATTTGTCAGGATATAATTTCAGTGCAATCCTTCATTAAACCTAGCATCACTAAAGACAATGTCCTCAAACCCAAGACAATAGTAGGGATTCCTAGCTAGAGTGCCACTAATGCGGCAAGAGTTCGTTTTACGGTTCCTTAAGGTTGTGAACACCAGCAAGTGGATGGTTGTGCTCTAAGCATCTTGTGAGGGAAGTTGTGCTGTATATCATGACCCTTCTTAGAATCCAGGTCTTCTGGGTCTTATTGTCATCTCCTTCAGGCACTGACATTTCAAGCACCATTCGGTATACTTTGACTTTGGATCCTGGTCGACAAAAAGTGCGAGCCGTTTTTGACCAAGGTTCGGGCTCGTCTACCATCACAGAAGAGATGAAGATCGGTGTGAGACCAGACTCCAAGAACTACCGCATAAAATTACCGGTGAGAGCAGAGCTCTTGGAGGGGGTGGGATGGGCGGGATTAAAACCAGATACATTTTTTTAAAAAAAATTAATCTTCAACGTAAAATATAAGATGCTGTCATGAAATCAAGCAGTTCTTTTCTTGTTTTTCCCTGCTTCCTCATGAGGAAAGACTTGCATAGAAGACAGCCTCACACCCATAATTCTCCAGGTGAATTATACCCTGATAGGAGACCCCATCCCCCGTGCCAACAACCTGCGACCCATCCTACAGGAAGATGAACCTAATCGGCTTACGGCATCAGTAAGTCCATGCTCAGCAGAGCATCCTTGTAGTGTCACTTGGCGGAACAGATACATATAAAAAAGGCAGGAAGTTGAAGCTTAATTTATGGATGTGGTGAGCACAGAGCAGTGTTTCTCAACCTTTGCAATTTGAAGATGTGTGGACTTCATCTCCCAGAATTCCCCAGCCAGCCGTGCTGGGTGGAGAATTCTGGGAGTTGGAGTCCACTCGTCTTCAAGTTGCTAAGGTTGAAAAACACTGGTACAGAGGATGGCCTTGAAGGACAGAGGGAAGATCTGCTACCAAGGCAATGATTAAATAAACGAGGCTTGAGCCCAGATGAAGAAAATGGTTTACAAAATGGTTTACAAATGGAGACAGCTCCCTCCATTAATTCTCATGAAGATAAAATAGGGAGGAAGGGAAGCACATTTAAACTTGCAAGATTCTATTACTGTAGCTGTTCTAATAAGAGTAGCTTTAGGTCTGCAGTGTTTGTTTCTTAGTCTGGTCTACCTTATAGAGCTAACAATGGGGAACTGGATTCTGACAAGCCCTTGCACTTGCTTGTGTAAATTCTTTCCATCACAAGTGGTCTTGCTGGAAGTTCTTCCTCAGCAGCACAAAGTCATCATTTGGGGGGGGGGGTTCTGGTCATAAATGCTCAGCTAGTCAGTTCACTGAGTTTAGTTTAACATTTATTCATTTATTTATTCATATTTATATAGCCACCCATCTCACCAAATGTGACTCTGGGCCGTGTACAATCAAAAATTTAAAAACAATAATATAAAAACAATCAACAATTTTAAATTATTAATATAATTAAAAGGCAAGGAGAGAGCAACAGATGTTAACAACAGCACACCACCTCAACAACTCTCCACTCCCCTGGGGCCCCCAAGCCCGATGACATAGCCAAGTTTTGAGGGATTTGCAAAAAGTTAATAGGGGTAGAGCCAGCCTCACCTTGGGGAGGGGGGAATGATGTTCCATAAGGCAGGTGCCACGGCAGAAAAGACCCATCTCTGGGTCTTGCCAGATGTGACTCAATACCTCTTCTGCCAGATCTGATAGGATGAGCAGATGTAATCGGGAAGAAATGGTCCCTCAAATAACATTGATACAGGTCCATCATGAAATCCAGTTGTCGGGCAGGTGTGACCCAGTGGGTTGTGCCTCTGAAGGTTTGGGTCCAAGGTTTTCAGAATTAAATTGAGAGCCAATGCTCTGCATAAACCAAGCTTCTACAGGAGGTGATATGAACACGATGATAAATAAATGTGGTAACAACATCTACAAAGCAAGACTTGTAATTAAAAGGAATATTGTATTGATTCAACCTCTAGTATCTTCTCACTAGTCTCCCCTGTTCATGGGGGCTGATATTCTCTCTCCACCCTTCCCTCATCTCCTCGTAGCTGCCCTTTGAAAAGAATTGCGGTCAAGATGGAATTTGTAGAGACCAATTAAAAACATCCTTCAATTTCTCTGGGTACAGTATGCTTTTCATCTTTATAGCAACCACACATCAACAGAGTTCACTCATGCATATGGAAAATTGACCAAAGCCAATGAACTCCTGGTGTTTAGATGTTCAATATTTATTATTATAGGGCAGAACTCTCATTGCATTACCAAGATAACTGTGTTTGGAAATTGGTGTTGTCCTATCTCAGTGTTTCTCAACCTCAGCAGCTTTAAGCTGTGTGGATTTATGGATGTGGTGAACACAGAGCAGTTTCTCAACCTTTGCAACTTGAAGATATGTGGACTTCAACTCCTAGAATTCCCCAGCCAGCATGC